TGATATTTCAACAATACCTAAATTTTTATTTATTTTTAAAGATTCTAAATACATATATCATTGTGATTTGTTAATTAAGGGATTTACGTACTAAAAACGTTCTTAATATCTATTCAACATTTTGTGCACAAATGTGTGCTAAAAATATCTGAAAATAATTAATTTGTCCCTAAGCCATAGGGACTGAAATTTTTATGGTGGCATACTTTTAGTTATATTTTCGGAGATTTCAAACCTCTAGAAACTTCGAGTGTTTTTTTTTACACTTGAAGAGTAACTTGATTTTTCCTGTGTGCAAATATGGGATTGATTCGCAGCTTACCTATCGACTTGCTTTCATTTTCTGGCATTAGTTCGCAGTAGTTCCCACAGAAATCCCGGCAAAACAGAGGCAGATTCCGCATGTGAACTCTGTGGTTAGTTGGCCAGTTCCTCTTTCCATTTTTTTTTGGCCAAGGCCAGGGACCATTCTGATTGACAGGCTGTCGTGTTAGCAACAGGTTTTGGTTCAAAGATACGATTCGACCCAGGCAAAGGGAAAAGAAATGGATTCGAATGGTAAATCGAGGCGGGTCGAGTGCTTCTGATTCAATTTTACTGAATTTGATTTGCTTTTGCCACACAATTTCGAATTGAGGAAATTGGCACTTGACCTACCGCACGGGAATCTAAATTAAGCAGCATGCTCGCTCGGTGAGCGATGCTCCATCTCTTTTTGACCCACTGCGGGGCTTCGTACAGCAGTTTTTGGTAAATTGCTGAAGGCATTTATTCACTTGTTTACCGTTTCCATTATTCGCTTGTCGCGGCTATTTCATCATACATTTTTCTTGCTGTCCGAACATCTTCCTTCTATCGCCCCTCAAAACTTGTGAGATAATCAGTCGACTAATTAAGCATCTTGTTCAATTTTTATCAGCTGCTGATGTAAAGGATTTAAATTAAATGTTGAGAACATGATATTCTCTGTCGTACATTTGTAAATACCATTAAAACCCATTGTTGTAGTTACACAATGGGGTCTGATGAAACAATTAATTACAGCGACATGAATGTGAAATGCAAAAAAAAAAAGGGAAAAGGGAAGGAAAACAGGCTAAGCCTTTAAAAATTAAACCCTGTTCGGAAGTGAATTCTTTTTAATACCATCCCGGCGAATACGTAATGCTTCGGGCCGAAAAGAATTGAGGAATGGCTGGCAGTTAATGGCAATTATGATAAACGGTTGCTATGTCGCTGCGTTCGCACACAGATACTCAACACAGACACACACGTACACCCGCCGCACACACACAGATACTCACGCACACAGTGCACTCGAACAACTGTTGCTCGCGGCTTCTCCGCTGTTACTGTTACTGTTGCTTTTCAGCTGTTGCCAAGCGCATTAAGATTGACGTGCGTCTGTGTTTGTTGACCAGCGCCATTGTGTGTGTGTGTGCGATGGGAAATCACTTGAACCTCCGATAGAGAGGGCAATTGATATGTGCTCCCCTCAATGCTGCAATCAATTTTAAGCGGCTTTCGAGCGGCAAAAACAACCGAAACGGTCGTCCAAATCGCCCCAAATCGTCCTTTTGACCTGTGGCCACTCTCATTATTTATTTGATATGCTTTTTGCATTAGTTATTCAGAAAGACACGGAAAAAAAGTAATTCTATATGTCAAAAAAGTTATTTTTAATAGAAAAATAATAGTTCCTTGCTCATATAAACAAATTTAAATCGATTTAAAGATACGAAAATCTTAGGTTGGAAAGGTTAACGGATTTGTATAATCCGAAAAAGGTTCTATTAAAATATAGCGTCTTAATAATGATTGGGGTTCTAAAATTAGTTTTATAGTTGTTCAAAAGTCTACCACAAAATATTTTTAATACGAAAGAAAGAATGAATCGTTCCAAAAAACGACGTTCTTTTTTTCGTTGCATACTTTTAAACACCTAGATATAAGAACCCCAGTAATTTCTATAAAAACAATTCTTAGGGCCCTTTTGTCGTCCGCATGTTAAGCTAAGAGTATATTTTAAACATAGAAAACAATAATATGATTTCGAAATTATAAGATTTACTAGAAAACTTTTTTTTCCTTGCATACTTCTTAACACCTTTTTAGTAGATATAAATACCCCAGTAATTTCTAGGGAAACAATTCTTAGAGCTATTTTGTCTACATGTCTGCATGTTAAACTAAAAGAACGGGCTAAAACATTAAAAACAATAATACAATTTCTAAATAGTTTAAAATAGTATTATTTGTTTGCTGTGCACTACTTACAAAGCGACTGCTGCTGGAATAATCGTCACTTCTATGGGCGCAGTACGGGGCTACTGAACTTTCAACAGCAAACAGCGGCAACAACAAGTGCAACACCAACACCATCAAGTGCAGCAGCAACAATACCAACTGCAACACAGTCTGGCTTAGTTGGATTGCCGTTTATTTCGTGCAATTTTCTACTTTTCCTTATTACAAGTAGTCACACACAAGCTGAGTAATTTCCATGCCATTTTTCCTACGCTTCCGAATCGAGGGCATTTTACTTTGTTGCAAAAGGTTTACAAAAACAAAGAGTATTGCTTAGTGTCCCCTTTGCTTGTATTTATATTTGCAGTTCCCTGTATTTTATAAGGCATTTAGTACTGACTTTGCTTCAATAGTTTCTATGAAACGAAAAGCACGGGGATTTAATTTAAATGATGTTAGTTTTTCTACAGCAAAAGGTTCACAAAAGCGATTGTGAATTTTCTGCTCTTAGCTTTTCTATACTTTCAGTTCCCTGTATTTTGTCAAGCATTCATTATTAAAAGGAATGGAAAAGGATTTAGTTTAAATAGCTTTTGATTCTATTTTAAGAAGCTTGTTGTAGTTCAAATTCACTCAGGGTTTATTTAGTAATCTCTTTATTTGTTGACAATACTTGGGTTTCACAAACAACTCCCAATTTACTGGGTCGACTTAACTCAATAGTTAGTGTATAAATAAAATCTAATCTTTAAATATTGTTTATGATGGCAGGTGATTAGAGCCCATAGTCAGAAAAGACCTAGCAACAGCCAACAAATTGTGTAATAATTCCAGATTTTCATGCATTTCATGTAGCAGAATTCAACAATACTTATCAATGTATGTGCGTTTGCTTAACATTACACAAATAGCATTACAATTGAATAATAATTTCAATGCAAAAGTAATTTTGTGTGCGAAAATATAATCCCTTTGCTGCTGAATTATGGCTGTTTGATTTATTTATTGAGGAAACAATTGAATCAAATGAGGTGCAAATGAAATTACGGTTTGGCTGGATTTAAATATTTCTAAAAAGACCAGTAATTTCTAAATTCAACTAATTTATTGAAATATTTCATTGGGAAATATTTGTCAGCATACAATTTAAAGAGAGATTTAGCCTAGGAAGATTTTTAAATAATTACTGGCCCCTCGTGGCAATATAATTAGCATTTGCTTGCGGTGTCAGTTGATTGAGCACTGCATTTCTCGCAGAATGGTCGGCATCTGCTTGCCATTTAAATTGCGTCAGATCCTTGTTGACGATTAAATTGCCAAAATAACGGGCAGATGTTGCACCCAGCGGCCATTGAAATGCCAAAACTGTGCTCTGTATCTGCGAACCTATGTATCTATGTATCTATGTAGCCTGTGTAACTATGTATCTTTGCATCTTTGTATCTTTGTGATGCAGATATGCTTGTGTGAATCAGCTGGCAGCGCAATTGTTGGCACGCCGATATTCACGCACAAATGCCCCGAATGCTTTTGATATTTAAAATTAAATTGTAATGTCAGTGCACTGAACTGGCCCACAGAGCGGCATACATATGTATGTATTGCATAGCGGTACAGATACAACGCACTCAGAACTGGTGGCAAACTGCATTCAATTTTCCAACGCTTATTGAAAATAATCACATGCATCGGGTCAACGAACTGGCCGCGAAAAACTCATTAGCGTTATGCCACAAGCTAAATCTCAACGGGGGAGGAGGGGGTTAATCGGGGTAAGTCCGAGGAAATCGGGGGAAATCGGTGCAAACCGGGGAAAAATCTCGCTTTCTAGCCGCATGATCGCACAGTTGAAAACAGAAACACAAAACGAGCAAACGTAACACACAAATCGCAAGGCAAACAGCTCGTGGCTATCGCTATACTATATAGACCCTGCCCCTTGCCACCCCCTACCACCTACCCACTATATATATATGCACTTATATCTGAACAATCAGCGTCAATAAGTAAACACAAACGTTGCTCGTCATCGCATCGTCCCAATGGCAAATAATAAAATTAGCAACAATGACGAACAAAGCAGCAGAAGTCGGTGCGCAAGTTTGTAATTGTCATTACAAAATAAGGAAAAACTGTGGCAAGTTGGTTGGGAGGAGCATAAAGTTCAGTTGCCATTGTTACTTCCTAACTTGTTGACAAAAGGCAGTGGCCAGATTATAATGGCAGACATTTAGCCACTTTTGTGGCTCTTAAATTATAGTTTCATGCTTTAGATAGTTGAGAAAAGAGCCCAACTAAATAAAAATCTATAAAATCAAACATTAAATAAAAGATTTACTATTGATATTCATTTTCTGTTTAATAAGAGGAATACTTTACTAGACTTTCAGAATGCCAAGGGATATTTCTAAAAAGAATTTTTATTTTAAATTTACCAAATAATAAATAAATGAAATATGAAACACATTTTCAACTTCTTCGTCGATGTGTTGGCCCAAGGCAACAAAGTAGTTCGGGTTTCATCCCTTGCTAATTGCCATAAAATGTATTTTTGAGTTGGCTAAACGAACTTTTCGTCCAACTCAGCATGTGCATTACGTATACGGCCGGTGTGCTCCGATACGAGCACTCTGGGCTTTTTATTGCCAGCCATTTGGGGCGTCCATTAGACAGCTTGACACCAGGCACACTCGCACTCGCACCTCACATTTCCTATCTAAAATCTCGCATTTTACACCTCCCCCGTGCGACAACTCTTCCCTGTGAAAATTGCGGCAACAGCTGCACCTGTCGCTATTTCCGCGTTGGCAACACACTTGCTGCACCAAAAAAAAAATACAAAAAAAACACAGCAAACCGGGGCGGGGGCTTCAACAATATCTATTTTCGATCGTCAGAGCTCATGGTGCATATGGTAGAGCAGTCGACCGATCAGATCCGAACAGGCCTGCACTCTAAGTGGTGAAACCTCCAAGGATACCTCTTTGGGGTTCTCCAAATCGGTTTCCATCTCCCTGTCCTTCTCGTTCTCCTCGTTTTCCTTTTCATTGGCCACCATGGTGATGATCGCAAAGGCCAGGACTCTCAGTCCGCCTTGATGGGCGACTATGACCTCGGGCACCAGGGATATGCCCACGGCATCCACCTCCATCGCTCGCAACATTCGTTCCTCGGCCAGGGTCTCGAACACAGGACCGCCCAGGCAGGCCAGGACGCCCTTGTGCAGGAACTGCTGAACACCCATCCTTCTGCCAATCTCGAGACTCTTTTCTAGCAACTCCCTATCGTACGCATTGACCATCGAGAACTTGCGGCTGCCGAAACGCGAATCACTGGGACCCTCGAGAGCCGTCTGGTGCATCATGCCCACCACATTGATGTGGTCCTCGACCAGCATTATGTCGCCCAGTTGGTATTGCATATTCACAGCGGCTGCCTGGGAGGTCAGCATGATGGTCTTGACCCCGCACAACTGCATCACGCGGACGGGCAGCGAACAGGTGGCCAGGTTGAAGCCATCGCAGACGTGGAACCGATTGGCCAAAGCGATAATGGGTGCACCCATGACCGTGCCCACAACAAAGCTGCAGTCGGGCTCTATGCCGGCTGGGAAGTTGGGTACATCCTCGTAGGGAATGACCACGGGCTGCTCCACCAGCGAGATCATGCCGCTTAAGAAGCTGCCGCAGATCAAGCCGTACTTTGGACGGATGTGACTCACGTCTATGATGTACTTAGCCATGGCCTCGACTTCTTCGAAGGGGTAGAAGAGGCTCTGGGGCGTGGGGATCACCAGCTTGGGCTTACGGCGCTCCTCCTCCTCCAGCTGCAAAAGTCGCCTGGCCGCCATTCGCTTGGCGATCGGCGACCTGGCCTCGCAGCAGTCCCTATTGCACATGGTCTGATGGATGGGGTCTCCAAAACGCGGGAAAACCGAAAACTAACAAATTTTATAGCAGTCACCAAAGAAATTTTAAGGAAAATAATCAAAAGATGACTTTTAAAGCAGAGAATGTGGTTATCACGAAAATATATGCAATTTTAAAATCACTTATAACGTTATCGAAAAGTATGCAGAGACAAAAATTACCTCGGATTTTGAAATTGAAATTTTTTGTTGCATACTTTTAGACACCTGTTTTCAAGGAATTATTCACAATTTATTATAAGTAAATATTTGCGAAATATTTATTGAATTTAACTTCTAAACAGTAATCACAAGAAATGACTTTGAAAGCACAGAATGCGGGTATCACACAAATAAATACAATTTTCTTATAACGGGGTCAAAAAGTATGCAGTAAACAAATAACCTCGGACCTCTTAAAACTTAAACAAATTGTTGCATACTTTTAGAAACCTTTTTTCAAAGAATTTATAGACTATTAGTTATAGGTTATTCTCTGCGGAAAATGAAAATACATTTATTAAAACTACGTCTTAAACTTGTAAACCGTTCTTATAAGATAAGCACAGGATGTGATTACTTTCTCATAAGTAATACAATATAACAAAAGTGAATGAAATTTTGAAATCACCAACAAGGCTGTAAAGAATGTAGAAAAAAAACAATGTCTAACTTTTGTATTTCAAATATATTGTAACATACTTTTAGACACTTTTCTTAGAGATCTCAATCAAGTGTTCTCTGTTTACAAATTAAGAACTATTAACTATACGTAGAACTTTCTGAAAAATATCAACGACGTTATCTTTTTAACAGTAACTACAAAGAGTAGGCAGATGACTCCCGTTTCTGGCTGTAAACAATTTTCAAACAATGCTTATTAAATACCTCCTTTTTAAATTTACGCACAAAGGGAAGGTGTGACACTGATGAAGCTGAAAAACAAAAGCCCCGAGTCTGGATGAAAAAAAAAAACACAAAGGGACGCCATGACGTCTGGTTGAAACCTGGTGGTTTCATTTCGGTATCCGGCTGTGAATGGTGGCACGAAATTTCATTTAAGGACGGGGGTTTTCAAAGGGAGCCTTCCAGATTCGCATTTACTGCAGTAGTACGTCGTTTTGTTCAACTATTTTCCTACTCAAAATATTTTGTGTAAATTAATTATCTAGAAGTTATAATTTTAATGAAGTTTTCTGTGCAAGTTTTCTGTTTATTTGTATTATTTTGTAAAGCAAATCAGAATCTTAAAGCCCCCACAGCAATTGCCAGCCAGATTTAATTATCAACGCAAAAGCAACGGGTGTTTTTCGTTCAGCCACGCCCATGCTGCGCCCCCAAAGGGCGGGAAAGATGCTGTTTACCATGTTTACCATGCGTATACGTGATAATAACGCTCATACGCATGGCGGCACATCGTCAACGCCCCGGTCGTTCTATAGTACATACAGTATCGTGGACGCCGTTCAATGTCACCGCGGCGCAGAGTTCGTTTACAGCATCCATAGTATAATTCACGATTCGAGTGGTGTGAGTGGATAAATTAAATATGTCCATACTGAGCCGACGATAAACAAGACACTCAAGACTAGACTGAGATGATGCGGAGGTTCACGGAGGGAAATATATGCGAATACTTTTTATTGGCACTTAAATAAGATATTTATAATTATCATGTTGTTTGTTTGTATTAAATAAAAAGAAAATATTTTTTAAAAGTATCCAATTAGATAGTATTGGTAATTTTGTTAAGAATACATGTTACGTTTCTTAATAAAACGAAGTGCATTGATAAAAGGTGCTAAATCTCAAAAATGTTGCAGTTAACCCATTCGAAACTGAGAAGGAATTGTTTTTAATAACACTAAATTGAACATTCTTGGTAATTATTTGATATTTAAAAACAATACTAGTTGTGGACAAATACGAATTAGTGATGAATTTAGGTGGTGTTTTTTGTCTGTGTACTTAGTTTCTGGCGTGTGCTGGAATAGACTGGAGGTTGGTTCAATAATTTCGCTAATTAGTTGGGCGAACCAATGAAAATCCAACACTTTGTCTACGCCGTGTTTGCATAGCCACCAAATCTGTCAATAAATTCAGTGCCCAGTTGTTCAGAGCCAATTCATACGACTTTGAGGGATTGGAATTGGAATTGGGAATCGCTGAAGCGTTTAGTATGCTCATGACGCGGTCGATCATAAAAAATTATTAATAGGAAACTTTGTAACGTTGTTTATGTTATTCGAGTGCGCGCCAACTATCTTGGGTTACAAAAGCAGCCTTTGTTAATTTTTTGCCGATTTGTTTGTTATTTTGTTATGCCAGTGCAGCCGCCTACAATGTCAGAGTCACGTTTGTGTAATTCGCTGTGATGACGATGGCTCGATGCCTCGATTGCCTCGATGCGGGGCCAAAAACCGCAAGAGATTATCCAGACCTGTAACTCTATCATCTGTTTTGCCAACCCAAACCCCCATTTGTTTGTTTTATTTACCTGAATGCCTTGTTTCGGCTTGTCGTACTCATTGTTGGGATTGTTTCTTTGTTGTTTCGCTGCCTTTGCCCCTTTTTGTTTGGCCTGCCGTGGCTATTTGTTTGTCACTTTGCGTCTGGCTGCCAAAAAAATGGCATATTTGCAGTTGATATTAATTTCGGTTTCACATTTACCCCGCAGCTCCATTATTGTTATTATCTTTTTGTTTTCTTTTTTTTTTTGACTCTCACCTTGCCCCAGGAAGAGGAGCAAACTCGTTTCGGCCATTCCCAGTTCCCCGAGTTTGTTTACCAATTTATTGTTTGACTTTTATTTTTGGCATTGCGCGATTTTACGCTGTCTGTGTAGGCTTGGTAAATACACAGCACAGAAAATCTACAAAAAAAAAAAAAATATAATCAAATAAAACTAAAAAAAGAAAGCGACGAAAAACTGAATATTTTGACTGGCATTTGAATGCTAATTGAAGTCGACGAAGAGCCAGAAACGAGTTGTTGCTGTGGGAAGCGATTCGATAGAGTTGTGATATGGTAATTAATAGATATCATTTTCTGTCTCTCTTCCGCAGTTACCAAAAAATTAAAATAGAATCCCAGTGAGACTTTAGAGGGAAGATTGCCAAGTGCAGAGTGGAAAGGTCGCCAAGCTCAAAACGACAAATGAAAACCAAAAACAAGATCAACATCAACAGCGCCAACTGCCAATGCTTTAGTCACTCGAGTCAAGGAATCGCCCTAATTGATGAGAAGAACGTACTGAGGATACACAGCTACACGTACAAGTGCTTGAATCACAATCCGCGACCTCGGATACTTGGCTGATATTGATATTGGATATTGGGAAGAGAGATTTTTAAGAAAGAAAGCCACTCGCAGCCCACCGAAGGTAGCTGATTTTCGCCCGAAAAACCCACTTTAGTTGCCCTGACAAAATCAAAATCAAAACAAAACAAAAAAAAACACAAGCAGCAGTATTTTGTTGCACAGGGAGACCCTGAAACGCCGAGAAAAGAAAATCTGGTTTGGCCGTTTGGACCAGCAGCGATCCACGGACGAGCCTCCTCCTTTGGTGCATTTCCAGTTTGGCGGCTGCTCCACTTTCGTGGCTCCATAAACAAAGAGCCAGGCGAAAACTGGTTATTTTCTTACTGCGATCGGAGCTGCAACGAGCGACTGCGACCTCCGATTCCGATTTCACAGCCACATTTACAAGAAACTTGGACCCGTACTCTCCGCCAGACTCATGTACTACGCTGTTGATTACTACGCGGATATGGGACAAATCTCTCAAGATGTAAGTAAAGACTATGCCCCTGATTTAGGAAATATGTATATATCTATATACAATGGGGAAACAGTCAGAGTCAGCACAAAATTTTTTATTAAACCAACTTCAATGAAAATTCTAAATCTTATTTCTTAAAATTAAAAAAATTTTATGACGAAAAATGGTTTAATTAAATAAAACAAATTAACAAAAGTAACAAAAAGTTTATCATATTGTGTAAAACATTTTTGTTACTCAGTTAAAAAACCGATAAAGACCAAAACGGAGCTTTTCTTGGAGATCCCAAGATAGGTTTTACAACTGATTATCATAATCATATAAATATTTTCATTTCAATAATTTTTAATAATTTTTTAAAGAAATATATGGTTAAATAAGTTGACCAAATTAACAAAATTAAATAAATGTAAATTCTATTGTGTAAGCTCATTTTATTTATTCAGTTAAAAGGCGGAAAATATCAAAACGAAGCTTAGCTTTACTTTGAGATCCAAAGATATGTAGGTCTTACTAGAGATATCAACCTAAAGACGTACTACTAAGACAAGATCGAATAAATTTTAACTAATCTCAGTTATTTAAATGAATATAAAATAATAATTTTTAGAAAATGACATAAATTAAGTTCTGAAAGTCATTAAAAATGAGTTCTTTTGACAACCAACTTTTCTTTTCAAGGCTATATTTGTGCAAAGTGTTTCTTTTCTGCTGATTAGGCAGATCGCATGATATTTGACTGCGGCTGCCTTCGTTTTTATAACCCATAACTTGCAAAAAAACACTTCGTTTTATATGCTTGTTTACGCATTCGACATGAAGTAAAAACAAATGTGGTCACAACATGTTCCTGCACATTCTGTGAGATTCTGCAGTGGAAATTCTGTTGTCTTAAACAATGTGCAATTAATTTAAGTTCGTGCATCTACAACTTGATTGGCATCATATTATATTTCAAGAGTGGTAATCAGGCATCTGGATTTATCCGACTGAGATATTAATTAAGGCATATATGAAATGCTCAAAATGTTTGCCAGGAAACCAAAAATAGTTTATTTTTTTTGATTCGTGCATTGTAATGTGATATATGCTTTTGTTATTGCGTGGCAGAATATTTTCCTGAACAGCATAATTACCTTTCCCGGCAGCAGGAAAACTTAAAACCGCACTGTAAATATTAAAGGAAGCAGCATGAGGAAATTTCTCGACAGTGAAATCCTATATATTCATATGCATATGTGCATACATACATCATTGGCTATTTGCAAAATGTATATATTGTTTGCAATTCTTGTTGGAAGAATGTTGATAAAAAGTGAATAGTATGCAGGGGAAAATAACAATGAAAGCAGCGTTGCTAGGTTGGTTAAAAAATTAGTAGCATAGTAACCAAAATTATTTGCCAACTTTTTTAATGCGCAGTGAGTGTGCGGAAAGTGTTGTGGAATTTTTGTGAAACCCTCCGTTCTGATAAGCTGACGGCATGGAGTATGGTGTTCTTTCTGTACTCCCTCTGATATTTCTCATATGGTTAGATGTAGACCCAGCCAGAGCTATAAAATAGATAACACCAAAGCTGGCGACTATGGTATTTTGTTTTCGTTTCGAATATGATTGCCAAACTGGGTCAGCTAATCAGCGAAATTGAATTGATGCAAATGTCGAGTAATTGCGACTTGAAGTTAATTCAATTAGAGTAGACTGAGCATAAGAAAAATAAAGTGAAGGAATAATTGATTAGTGGCAAAAACAATGGGTTACAAGTGTTGTTGTTTTGTAAAATTATCAGCTACTACTGTCAATTGAATGCCAGATGTGGGAAATAACCTCATGATCTTACATTTTATATGTATGATGGTTA